TTTTAAACAAGAAATCACTATTACAATAAAAAAACAAATTAATATATTTCAAATGCCAGTAAAAAAAATATTTAGATAAGAGTGGCTTGGCATTAAATTTTGAAATTACTAATTTCAAATTTAATTCTAATTTAACAAAAATATAATCTTTTTATGGTTTTTTTGTTATTTTTCCACACCTTGAATTTATTATATTTCAGTTGATGATAAGCTGGTTTCTGATTTATCTATGTAATTTGAAATAAAATTTATTTAGGCAAATTAACATTTTAAATAATTGAATACTATATAAAAAAAAAACTTTAAATACATATTGGCCATTATTTACTAATAATTAATAATGTTTAGGATGCTGAGTATTCTTGATTAGTGTTGTTAAAAGGCTTTTTTTTAGCCGAATTTTTAAAAGGGCGAACTCAATATTTTAGCCAGAAAAAAAATATTACCTAGGCCTCGAGATTTCGTTTATATATGTCTACACCTTTGTTCCTTCTATGAGCAAAATCTTCAAACTTGTTTAGTATTTTTCTGGATGAAATATTGAGTTAGCCGTTTTTATAAATCTGCTCAAAATGAGCCGTTTAACATCACTACTATTGATTCATTCATCTAAATTTTTTTAACTGAATATCTTTTATTTAACTGTTGATTCCCTCAAACATTCATCTATGTTTTGAGTTTTAGATATAAACTAGACCTAACTTTTAATTCTCACTTCGTTTTTTTAATAAGAATTTTTAAAAAAAACACAAAAAAAATTTATGAAGATATATATATAATTTATGTCTTGTTAGTGTTACTAATCATAGATCACTTAATAGGCTTGTCTTGGTACCACAAACTATAGGTATATGAAACTTCTCAAAGAGTTTGCTAATCAATTACAGTGGTAATTGTCGTCCTTTGAGCCTTTATCGCATCCCAATAATGCAGACCACGATTTTGACAATATCCTTTAGCAACTTACGCACAAATCTAACTCTCATAAAAAATATAGGTATGCGCATTTAATGCACATTATATTTATGATGAAAAAAATATTTGCTTATTTTATGATTATATGTCCAAAATATTATGTGACAAATAATGCTTTTGGGAAAATAGTAAAATATGTAAACCCTTTTCTTTCTTTTACAATATTTTAGTTTGGATATACGTTCCTTGATAAATAAATATTCTACTATGAAAATATAATCTAAATTTGTCTTTACGAATATGAGCAAATTTCAAATTTAGAACAGTCTTTTCTTTTTGATTAATTAGGCAGAAATAATATTCATTAAATTTTCCCTGTCAAAAAATTATCTTTCACAAAAATATTATTCTTTTATGAAAATTTTTTTTTCATGCTCATCCGCTCAATTTTAAAAATTGTTTTCCAAGACGCATGTATAATTTTAAAGAAATTATAGCTTATAAAAAAACAATTAAAGAGGCCTTCATTACCAAGAACGTTTATTTCGTATTATAATCGTTATATCTGTTGATTTGTAATTGACAGATATGGACGTTTTTCAATATATTGATGAGAAGATATGATATTACAATTAATTGTCTGTTTGTAAATCAGTTATATTATTATTATTTTATATATTTATGAAATAAAAGAAATCGAGGAATTATTTTTAGGAACCATATAAAAGTATTGTAGTTACTGAAGAGGTACAGGAAGAATTCGCAGTGAATAAAACACACTTTTGTCATCAGGTGCTCCTGTGGAGCGCTTGTTTAGTAAAGCTAAATATGTGCTTAATGAAAGTGGATGTTTAAATTATAATAATTTAGAAAAAAATAATTATTATTAATGGCTAATTTTAACTATAAATAAATATATTCTAATTATTAAATTTATATTATATTATTCAATTACAATAAATTTATACCATATTTAATTTATTTTTATATTAGTTAATTTTTCATATCAGAAATTAAATGATAAAAGGATTTTTTTAAAAAAAGGTCGATCCTGGATTTTGATTCCATTTTTTTGAAAAGATCGTGATTCGTTCGATCTATTTAAAAAGAAACCCTAACCCTCTTGAGGGAGCCAATTGAGTAATCTAAGGCCAGAAATTAGACTCCCTTCCAAGCTTGAGAAATCAGATCTGAAAAGACCTGGAGGTTCAGGAATAGATGAAATTTGAGCTGATCAAGGCTCTTAGTGATCAAATTACATATATTATGAGTTCGGCTTTTACAAGAATGGAGCAAATAGGGTTAGGTTATTAATAAATGAATACTAACGGCAACCCATTTTGGTTGGTTGTTTTAAAATAACTGAAGGAATAGCTTCAAGAAACTCATGACAAGATTTATTAAGCAGTGAAGAGAATAATGCTCAACCAAATAATTGCATCTTAGAAAGGAGTTTAACGCAGCTTGCAATAATAGGTTTGTTCCAATTCTTCTGCCTAATAATTTCTGGAAAAGTTTGATCAGCAATAAATATTACCATCAAAGGTAGGATCAAGCATATAAAATGGGAATTAATCAACTGGATATAGCAGTTAAGGCAAGAAAAAAGATCTGATACCTAATCAACCATTGTTGCATAAAATATATCTTTGAGCTGGAAAGTTTGTACAATATTAAGTATTTTTTTTGCCTAGAATAAACAAGTTTATTATTCTTCCTTCTCATAAAATAATTAAGTTCTTGCAGAGTTTAAAAAAACTTAGGGTATTCAGTTTAAAATATTAAGGGCCCTGTATTCTGTGTAAAATATTTTTGGGCCAGGTTAAAAATATAAGGTTGTCACACTAAAAAAAATTCTAGGATTGAGACAGGCCCATCCTTTCATTTGATGAATTTTTAGGATCACCCCATCCTAAACATTAAAGAGAGGACAAATGTATATTTTAAGAATATGAAAAGTTTTGAGAGAATAAAAAAATATTGGGGTTGTAAAAAAAATGATTTTATTCCAATATAATAATTAGAACTAGCTTGACTATAAAAAGAGGGAAAAAAATATAATTAAAAAAGGTTATTCTGAAATAAATTCCTAAAAGTGGGGGATAAAAATCTTTTTAGAAAAAGATCTAAGGTGATTTGATAACTTCCTGAAAACATTTTATACAACTAAATCAATGTGATTAAAAAAACGTTTTGCTATTTTTTAACCCTAATTTTTAAGATTTGATCTAAAATTTATATAAAACCAATCAGATATATTTGATTTATATCTATTTATCTTTGAAAGAATGTGACAAAAAATATATTTGTTCAATATAAAATAAATTACATAAGTTTGAACCATGAAAACAAAGAAATTTTGATATTTTAAGTTTTTCATGACCAAGGCAATTTGGTGTGTTATCACAAATAATTAGGTGTATCAAAAAGAGGGAAAAAAATATAATTAAAAAAGGTTATTCTGAAATAAATTCCTAAAAGTGGGGGATAAAAATCTTTTTAGAAAAAGATCTAAGGTGATTTGATAACTTCCTGAAAACATTTTATACAACTAAATCAATGTGATTAAACGTTTTGCTAATTTTTAACCCTAATTTTTAAGATTTGATCTAAAATTTATATAAAACCAATCAGATATATTTGATTTATATCTATTTATCTTTGAAAGAATGTGACAAAAAATATATTTTTTCAATATAAAATAAATTACATAAGTTTGAACCATGAAAACAAAGAAATTTTGATATTTTAAGTTTTTCATGACCAAGGCAATTTGGTGTGTTATCACAAATAATTAGGTGTATCAAAAAGAGGGAAAAAAATATAATTAAAAAAGGTTATTCTGAAATCAAATTCCTAAAAGTGGGGGATAAAAATCTTTTTAGAAAAAGATCTAAGGTGATTTGATTAACTTCCTGAAAACATTTTATACAACTAAATCAATGTGATTAAACGTTTTACTAATTTTTAACCCTCATTTTTAAGATTTGATCTAAAATTTATATAAAACCAATCAGATATATTTGATTTATTTCTTATCTTTGAAAGAATGTGACAAAAAATATATTTTTTAATATAAAATAAATTACATAAGTTTGAACCATGAAAACAAAGAAATTTTGATATTTTAAGTTTTTCATGACCAAGGCAATTTGGTGTGTTATCACAAATAATTAAGTGTATCAAAAAGAGGGGAAAAAATATAATTAAAAAATATTATGAAATAAATTCCTAAAATGGGGGATAAAAATCTTTTTAGAAAAAGATTTAAGGTGATTTGATAACTTCCTGAAAACATTTTATACAACTAAATCAATGTGATTAAAAAAACGTTTTGCTATTTTTTAACCCTAATTTTTAAGATTTGATCTAAAATTTATATAAAACCAATCAGATATATTTGATTTATATCTATTTATCTTTGAAAGAATGTGACAAAAAATATATTTTTTCAATATAAAATAAATTACATAAGTTTGAACCATGAAAACAAAGAAATTTTGATATTTTAAGTTTTTCATGACCAAGGCAATTTGGTGTTATCACAAATAATTACGTGTATCATTTTTTATTCCTCAAAAGTTAATCATATCTCATTTAAAATGTGAGCCTATTTGTAGCTCAATATGACTCATTAACTTTTAAATCCTTATTGCAACAAAAAAATAAAATCTTATTTTTTGCTATATTTCTAATTTGATATTTTTTAAAGCATAGCAATTAAAAACAAATTTATGTTTTGTTCTTTTATACATTTTAATATTATAATATAATCTTAAAATATCATAATAATAGATAAGTTTTTTTGGAAATATTGGTACAATCCTTTTTTTTACAAAAAAAAGGTAAATATTGGCCGATTATTTAATATTGGCACAACCCTAATATTAAGGGTTTTATTTTAAATCAGATAAAATAAAGTATCTTTAGTCCTTATGATTTTTTTAAATTGTTTAATGTAATCTAAAATCAGTAATTTTTAATAAAGATATTGATTTTTAGTGCAAAAACATTTATACAACAAATTATATTCATATAAAATATGAAAATAACATCTTTTATAAGTTAGTATAAATAAATTCAAGAAAATTAAAAATACTTATATTTTATATATAAACTAACATATTAACATTCAAATAATACACATTTATTATTTAATTTTGACTAATTCAACATCAAATATTAGTTTAGAATTTGGTGGAATCAAGCCTGGAAAGCCTTTAGAACCATATGCAAAATCAGGAGAACAAGTTAAGGTAGCTTTTTCACCCAATGTCATCTTTTTTAAAACTATAATTTATTAAAATTAAAATATTACTTTTGCAACTCCTTCATCCCATCCTATAAAATACAAAGAATGAAATATTTAAATTCATATACCATACCTTTAATAACTTCTCCTGCACCTAATTTAAAATCTAAAGGAATTCCTCTTTTCCTTGAAGAATCAAATTCTTTTCCATTTTCCAATGTTCCTATATATATAATTTTTAAAGTAATTATATTGTAATTTAACCTGTATAGTGAACAGATACTGTTTGTCCTTTTTTGGGGTAACTCGTACCGTCTCCTTCCTGCTTTACAACATGTTCAACACCCATATTTGTTTTTACGTCACTAAAAATTAGAATCACCGACGAAATGTAGATAATTTTAATTCGGCAATCTATTAGTATTTGATTGGTCGCTTTATTATAAGGGAGGTAAGACCTTCTTAATTAATATTACCAATTGTACGGAAGTATCGTATTGAAGGTGGAATCCATGGGCATTGGGAATTTTTTGATTTACACTTATAGATTTTTGGGCTAAGCCCGCAAGTGTTGACAACGAACAGATTTAAGCTGTTTTCCTCAAATCCGTTAAACTAGTTATATAATATAAAGGAAAGATGAGGAGGCCATCACGCGTTTTTGGGCACTCTGCACGCAATTGTATGCATAATAGTTATAGGACTGTTATTTGAGCGTCTGTGGGCTGATTAAAAAGACGCTGGATAAGAAAACAGCTCACGCACATAAATTGCATGTATATTTAGTTACTTTAAAAAACAAGGAAAGATACATATGTGACATAATATTTGATGATTGACATACATTATTAATATATATTCTAGTTGTATAACACTGACGACGAGTTGGTATCAAGAAATAGTGAGTTTTGTATTAGTAAATACATTAAAATGATTATGATACTTGTATTAATTGAATAATTGATGATTTAAACTTATAAATAAATACAATTACTTTAGAATCTTTAAAAAATAAAATAGGCGTTAGTTATTCTTAGCTGATATAGAGGTGTATTTAGATTAAAAAGCTTAACAGAGGAGAAAGATAAACTTAAAGTTTTATTGGCTTATTTTGGTATGGAAGGATTGGGTGATCCCAAAAAACTTGATAAAATTTAAATAAAGTTATTAGATGCAAACCTGGGCCAAATAAAAAAATAATGCAATTTTTTAGTCATGTGTAAATTTTTTCAGAATACAGATAGATTACAATTTTTAGCAAGCATTGATTTTTTCAAAAATAATACTAAGTTCTGAGTCGGGGTTAAAAACATAGATTAATAATATTTTATATTAACTCAAATATTAGACTTGGAAGTCATTATTGAGAAGGCAGATCCGAGGATAATCCAAAGGGGAAATAAATAAAGTTAATAATTGGTAACGAGTTGAAATCTGAAGTGACGGGGTTTCATTAATAATAGTATAGTAGGAGACACCTCGCCAGTCAGTCCTTGTGAGAATTGGTAAGATTCAAGTGAAGGGAAAAATACAATATCTTAAAGAGTAAAAAAGTCAAATGATACACCTTTGTTATATTACGATGAACTTTAGGTTTTAAGATAAGAATTCTGAGAATTATTAGAATACAGAAGATTGAAGAGGATGACAAATAGGTGGGTGAATTAATTTAGTAAAGCATTTGATAGAAATCCAGGATTGATTACCAAATAAATGGTGGAATAGACATGGGCCTGAGCTTTAAACCGAGTAGTTTCCTGGCGTGAATGGTTTTTTCCACTTCTCAAAAGTATCGAGATGGAGTTACAGAGTTTCGTAAAAGGTAGACCCAATAGGGAATCGGTGAAAGTGGATAACGCCAAATGTGCCGATTTTAATGTGACTATTAACACAGCTGGTGGAGGATCATAATATAATCCCAAAGTTGGGTGATTTACTGGCAAAGATTGGATGAAGACAGAAATATTAAACATTATCCTTATCTCTAACTGGAGGAGTCCCAAAATATTTAACAATCGTTAATCATATCAGTCATTTTAAATACACTGGGATATCATTTGGACTAACCGTAGAGCCTACTATTTTTCAAAGATTTATGGATAATTTATTAAAATCATACCCGGTGAAAGATGTATATTTGCATGATATTATCATTAATGGCAAAGATGATAATGATCAGCTGCAAGGTGGGTATTAAAATTAAAATAGACAAACTAAAAATATTGAAAGAGACTGTAAAATTTTTGTATTAACATAGAGAAATCTAGATTATATCTTACCAAAGACAAAATTCTAACTATTCATGAGGCTCTCACACCTACGGATAAATACAACTTCTAGCATTTCTTAAGTTAATAAATTACTAGGAACGGTTCCTACCAAATTTACATGTTTGTGCAGCATCATTTCATGATATAATTTAACAAATATAATAGCCCTTGAACAAATACAGGTCTTTCATGAAAATATGGTCAAACCAAATACCTTCCATTAAAAAACTGACTTTTCAAAATTCGAATACTGAAACATGGTGCGATACTAAATTGAATAATAAAATAACGCAAACATTTTAACAAATGTCTTAAATATATTTTCAGAACCTTCTTTCCTCAAAATACATATGGGCCAGAGGCGACACACTCCCACTTTATAGAATAATAGAATACCGGATAATCAAACTGTAGGAAATATTTTCAGACAAGCCCCAAGCAGCCTAATATATAAAGTACTTATTAAATATCCCCGTAGGAGACAGCCCTCAAACCATTCCTAACAAAATGATTGATACGGCAGGATAACCAGATCATTAGCGGAGATAGGCTTATAATGTGAATTCATAAAGCGAGCTTCTACAGATAGAAAAACATTTAGAACCATTCTAAGGCTAATTTATGATCATTTGACGAATTACTGCTGAGTTTTGAGAGGTAATTATATATTTATTTTCTTAAGAAAAGATCACCAATACTATAAACTGTTAGTTTTTTCTAATAAATGATACATATCTAGTTCTCTAAATGAAAGATGACTGCTGAGAGGAAATTTTTTAAGAAAAGATATCTGATACTCTATTGATGGTTAGTTTCTAAATAAATATTATCTAGTTTTAAATTAATTAAATTTTACCGATATAATTATGTAGTTTATGATAATGTTATTTTATTTTCATCCGTGGGTGGTTTTAGATTAAAATTCGTCATGACAAGGTACCTAATAAGCTCAAATAAAGTAAATAGAGTGGCATATATTGATTATTAATTAGATATAAGAAGCAAATAAAACTTTTATAACGCATAATAATCTATTACGCTCCCTTATATGCTTTATATTTCGTAACGTTTTTTACTCATTACATAATATTTACTAAATGTTTATAAATACCTACAATACCTAGACAGAAATTTTACTAATAAAATAATAACTATTTTTTATTTGGAAGAAATAGTTTTTTTTCTATTTCTTACCTATTTCTTCTTCACACTCATATCTATACCTCACTCTAATACTAAAAATTGGATAGAGCTTCCATTCATTTTGATAGAAACAAATCGGCAATATGGAGGGTGAGCCTCCATATAATTCACGTTCGCTCACATTGGACAGGTCTATGACAAACGTGCTAGATACGATAAGATTCTCTTTCAATTTTTTTATGAATAACTGTAGGATAAATAAATATGCAAAACTTCAAGTTAAGCCAAACACAGGTTTAGGAGGTATGGTATTTTAATCAATAATCTATTGAAAATATTCTTAATAAATATTTAATATTAATCAAATACATATCAAAAGATATCAAATATTTGATATTATAATAATGAATATTTATTTAAGATATGAAGAATCATTGCGGAGAGGAGGGTGGGGCTATGGTAAATTTATTTGATAAAATAAAATTTCTCTTATCGTAAAAATATCTAAAAAATACGAATCAATTTTTGATTATAATTTTATTGAAGACAAAATATAATTTTATAAAATTTTTAAATTTATATGTTGCTTAAATATTTTCAAAATTTGAATATAATTCAATTTTAATTTTATTTTCCATTAGAGGGATAATCGCAGGAAACTTTGCGTTATAGGAATGCTTTTAGTCTTTTAAAACCTTTCAAAATACATATACATGTTCATTTATAAGCCCTTAAATCTCCGATCCAATAATTCAGGCACAGGCATTGTTTAAGGATTTAAGCCACTCTATTTCTTTTTTTGGTCATTTAATTTTCAAAATATTTACCCATATTCATGGTCATTTATAAGCCTTTAACTTCTGTGATATTTTTTATACAAAAATTAAATAAATCGAAAGTATTTAACATCTGGTTCTTATTAAGACATTGAAGGCTCGCTCTTGCTACTATCATTTGGTAATTCCCTATAAAGTATCGAAGGCACATTTGGCAGGGTCTGTTGCAAAAAAAGTGTCATTCAGTTTTGATTCCTAAATCGAGTACGTGTTGGCGAAGATTATAAATTTTTAATTTTTTATATTGCGTTTTTGCGCATCAGAAAAATAAATAAATTTTTTAAATATATTTTGAAATTTTGATTTAAGAAAATTAATTTTTGGAAATAAACGGCGCATGAATTGTTTAGACAGCATCATAATTATTTATACGATAATACATCATAAAGGATGGAAGATATTCTGGATATTATTTCACGTGAATCCCTGAACGTAGTCCTGCTTCACAAAAGCATAATTATCTAAAAAATTCTATATAACAAAAAATTCACCAACATTTAAGCTTAATTTTAGAATTGTGAAATGCTGACTGCAACGAGGATATAAATGAATGTATGATTAGTATTTAATTTTTAGTAAAATAAATTTCTAAAATCAGATGTCGACGTGCAAAATGTTTCAAGAGTCGTTTTCAATCAACAGAAAAACATTGTGAAGTATTTAATTCAATTGCAATATTGTCTAATGATATCTTAAACTTTCTCTTAGATTGAGGAATGCGCAATCAAGAATTGCAGGATTACAGAGAGATTGTGCAATACCTTGATAGTTTTTAATAATATATTATTAGACGTTAATTGGGGAAATTTTCCGCCAGTCAAAATTAATTTAAAATTTTGATGAATAGTGAATATTTACATGGCATGGGTTATTGGCACTTAAGCTAAGATATAATATTTTGGTCTTAAACAAGCAAATCTATTAAAGCCTACTTTTATGTCACTATGCATGCTTTTCTTTAAGAATTAATGACTATATATAATTGTGATTTACTAATATTATATTTTTTTTTTACTATTATTATAACTTACCTTGATATAATTGTAGATATAACGAAATTATTTATAATTATATCATTAGGCTCTTATATTTTTTTTTACTAAATAAATTTGTTATATCTCAAAAAAAAAATTCCTTAAGATTGTATATGA